ACAAAGTGTTAATTTATTTACCATTAAAGATAAAATAAATACCGTGATAAAACTCGAACTGATAATCAAAGAATTGAAAAATAATGTTTTCAGCGTTTTACCACTTTTAGAAAGATTTTTAACTGGAAACAATTTTAAAACAGCAGAAGAATTAGCATCCGATATTAAAAATCATTATTTTTTAATGATAAGAATTTCAATATGAATTTTCCCGAGGATTATGAAAAATCAAATTGGATTAGAAATCTATTTAGTTCAAATGTACCGGAAATTTTATCTTGTGCAGAACAATTGACAAAAATTTTCTGTGATCGAACTCTAGCTGAATGAGATGTACTTATTTTTTAATATGTATTTTTTTATTTTTTTTTTTTTTGATTCTGATAAATTTTGGACTTCAACTGTAAAATGATTGAAAGCCTCGTGTGTTACCGTAAGGTGAAAGAAACTGGCTATTCGCTATTTCTAGAGATTTTGTTAAAACTCTGCATTTTTAGAGAAACCTCTATGAACATAAGAAGATAAGAAGAACATAAGAAACTTTCACGGAAATATGTCAGAAATCATATATTTCGCAAGATACACCAGCGCGGTATATGCACATTTTTACACATAGCATTTACGACACTTCGGAAATAATAAAAGTTATAATATACATTTTCGTAATAGTAATAATATATAACCAAACTGATTTCACATTAATGAATATCATATGTCGAATTACGTTTTGCTATTTATTTAGTTTAAATGTTTGTTAAAACTGCCAACATTACTACGTTTATCTCTCTTCCCTTTAAAAGTGAAGTAATTATCATAGAAACGTCTTCCAGAGAGTCACCTTTAACCTTTATCTACACCAAATGCAATTTAGAGAATAATACGAAAGGCAGTGTAAATGCAACTCAAGCATAAAACAAATTATCTCTCCTAGGAATAACAATTTGTACGCACATGAGCACCAGTAATGTACTTTAATACTTCAAAACCACACATTATGTTTAATTTAGGCAATAGAAAGAATTTGTTTCGGAATGATAAACACGATCTGTTTTAATATATTAAATATACTTAACTTGTCTTTTCTAAGTTGCTTTGGAGATAATACATTGACCAAGCTTAAGAATATGCTCATACAAAAATTAAAATATCACTATATTTCTGTGAAATGCACTTTTTTTCATTTATATTCTTAAAATGTATTCTAATGAGAGCATCACATGGACACCCACGGAAAGGGATTCATTAACCGAAGTCAAATTTCAGCTGTACGATTACAGTAACCCTCTCGTGCATTACATGTCTGTGCATTATGCATTTGTATATTTTATCACAAACTATCTGGGCTACTTTTTTATTACAAACTATCATTAGAACAGAATCATTAGAAGGAATGAAAAATACGTACATTGCGGAGTCTGTGGTAAAAACAAGAATAAAAATTTTCCGTCTAACATGACTTTTGGGAGAGCAGTTAGCCGCCAAAGACTAACGCAGTTATAAACATATCAGTACACTTGACCAACAAAATAGCTTGAAAATACTTTAATTCTAAATGAAAACTGCAAGTCTTTGGAGAAATTGATCGCTATCTAAAAAGACCAGACCGATAAAGAAAAAAATGGGAGGCTTCTGAAACGCTTAAGCTCTTCTCCGATAGTCAGCTCCGATAGCTGGGCTTTGGAGAAGGACAAATTTCCAAGTTTGAGGGAACGAAGGAGTTAATGATTTCGGAAGGAAACGAATTTTGATCCACGTACGTGCCTTTGTAAAAGAGAAAAATAAAAGAGATACATGGAATACAAGGACAAGACAACAACGATGACGTGCGTGATAAAACTTTAGCAGGCTAAAACAATCACACTTAGAGCCAAAATATTTTCATTAAAAACTCTATATAGGCGATTATAAAATTTCTTTTCATATGCATATAAAATTTAGAAGCTTGCAGTTACAGTAGATTTGAATACTTAACAATTTCCAACTATAAAAAGGATTTGAAATACATTAAAATACTACTTAAAACTCTATAAATACATAAATGCGTGTGTGAAATAAATATATGTGTTAATATTACTATGTAAAATATTCATCATATATAATATTTTTATGGACAATACTCATATATATGTAGATGTATATAATTATAAGCTATTTGAGAACAATAAGAAAAATTTTTTATGTAAACCAGGAAATTGTAATCGAAATATGTGAATTTTTGTTCAAACTTTTCTTTTACTTGAACTTCAAAATAAATTTGTGATTATGATAAGAAATTCAATAGCCATACAACATACTTTAAATAAAAAGAAATCGTATAGAGAATCGCATAGAACGAAAGAGTAATTTTAATTAATAACTGAGTATTATTCTGCAGTCAATAAATTAACAAGAACATTAAACTACTTACAGAAATTAATTAATACCTATATTCTTACTAAAATTAATATCATATTAAAATTTACAAAGTATGTACCGCATTCCGGCGTATAACGAGCAGCTGCATTTTCCAACTACAATTTTTAACTTTTAGGCATATTCCCCTTATAACGCGCACCCTTTACGAAGATTTCTGAAAGCTACATGTGCGATGCTGTTGTCTTTTGAAGTACTCATTCGAAGACTTTTTCTATTTTTTCGAACAATAATAAACTGAAATGACAAGAGATAAGGGGGAAATATATGTGTCGGGGAAATGCTTAAGGAAATAAATCATTTTGCAAAGAGGGTGGGTTCTATTCCATGCAGTTGTGCACAAAAATGTTACTCTAAAACCCTACTAACCTCGGGAGAACAAACAGCCCTTAGACAGCCATGTCCGGCAGTGTCCTGATATCTGCTTTCTAGACCGTGGGCTCCAAGAAGCTTGTGCATCTTGGCTGGACAAGTGGTTAGTTTGTCGGAGGACCCCGGTGTTTAGTCCCCAAGCGAACTTGGTACTCATTTTATCAACTCACTCGCTGGATGAAAGGTTAAATCGACCTTGCCTAGCTCAGGGATCGAACCCCGGACCTGTGGTACTGCTGCGCGACGCGCCAGCCACTGCGCCACCGGGCCAAATGTTATTCTAAGTTTTCGAAAAGTAGTTAATATGGCTTCTTTAATAGTCTTCTTAAGGTAAATATAGCTCCAACCATACTAAACAAACGCAATTATGGTTTCAAACGCAAAGTTGTTTAATTTTGCAAGAGAAAATGGATACTATGCTGCGGCGAGGATATCTGGTGTTGGTGAAAGCCTTCATATGTAAGTGGAAGAAAATAATAGGGGGACCGGAAAGTAATGTCGTTTCTGCGCATGTCGACAACAACATGATAAGGGCAGAAGTGGAAGCAAATCCATGTAAAAAAATCCAGGAACTATCAAACACTTTTAACCAACCTTGGTAGACCTATCCAAGAAAATTTAAAGCAGAATGGGAAAATAAGCAAAGCAGGTGTTTGAGTCTCTCACAATCTGTCCGAAAAAAACAAAGCCAACCTATCCATCACATGCAGCGTATTGCTTCAACGGCACCATAGAGAACCGTGTTTTGACCGTTTGATTAGTGGAGGCAAAATCATAAGTCCTGTATGATAATCCAAAACTCAAAAGGCAGTTTTAATAGGGGTTACAAAGGGGGTTTACATCTCGAAAAGGCGCTTCTAGGTGTTTGATGGAGTATTCGCGGAATTGTTCATTTTGAATTGTTGAAATCTGGACAAACTGTTAATGCAGACCTTTACGATAACAATTAGATGGAGTGAACGAATCTTTAATCGAAAAATATCAATTTTCAATAGAAAATGCATTAAATCACAATGATTAGGATATTAAAGAATAAATGTGCTCTTCGTAAAGGAGTAACGATGTGGTAAGTGTTGAGAACTTGGTTCCAGAAAATCGCCAGAAAGCATTAATTATAACAAGAAACAGCATAAATTTATTTGTCTTGAAATGGGCAAAAATGAATGCAAATGAAAGGGAAATCTTTAAAGCAATTTTGAGTTTGTGTAGTCAATTTATGAAACGGAATAATTTCGTTCTAAAAGAAAAAATCTAAAGTTTTGGAAAGGCTTCCGAAATATTCGGACAACAAATTGAGAGGTAAGTAAGTTATTGAAAAAAATATATTAACTATAACAAATTGTAAATATTGATGGAACTCCAGTAATGTTAGCTATGAATAGAAAATAAAACAACTGATGTGAAAGGAACAAAAACCATTCACATAAAACAAAAGGACACGATAAATCTCACCTCATTGTACGTCTTTCCTGTTTAGCCGACGGTACAGAATTAAAATCCATGGTTATTTTTAAAAGAAATAAATATAATTTCTTCAATGGGGTTTGCATTTATGTTCACGTAAAAGGATGTATGAAAGGATTGATGGAAAGGAAAAGGTGTGAAACTGTGGATAAGCAATATTTGGCGAAAGCTTTCTATTGCATTAAAGAATCCGAAAAGTCTTTTACTTTTGGATATGTTTAAATCTTATCTAACGAATAATGTAAAGAAATTGTTGAAAAAGTGTAATACAGACATAGGCGTTATTTCACGAGAAGTAACGCCATTAGTTCAGCCGACAAAGAAATACGTGGATATTAGAAAGTGAAAAAATATTTAAGAGGAATCATATGTAACATGTCCGTCTAGAAATAGGATGTGAGTGGATAATAAAGGCAAGGAATGATATTAAGCCCGATAAAATTTAGAAGTAATTTTAAAAATGTAATACATCTAACAATCTACATGGAACGGAAGGTGATTATTCATCTATGGATCAGAATGATAGTGAGTGTGAAGATGAAACAGAATTCGATGATGTGCCTGAAGATACAACGGATGGTGATTATGACGAATTTTTCATGGTTTTTCCTATTCCGAAAGTAAACTTTGAGTATTTTGGGAAATATGGAGACTCCGTTAAAATTTTACCTTCTGATATCCTTATTCAAATCAAAGGTATTTTAAAATAAAATGATATTATGAAAAATTGTTGCAAAATTTAATGAACTTACCTCTACTGCTGTGTTTACAGTGTCCTTGAAACAGACGCGGAGAGCCTAGAAATAACGACAAAAGGAAAAATAATGAGAAAGTTTTAAAATTTGGTTCCATGCGAAGAAAAAAATATAAATTCATTGCTAATTAATTATTAGTAGTTAATAGTAATTCCGTTTTGTAGATAAACTGCATAGATACTTTCGATGCGTTACATAAATCTAAGCTAATTGTTTTTAAAAAATCTGAACATTCTAGTGTGCTTTTGCGAAACTCAAATAACATAATATATTAAGTGTATAAAACCATAACAATCGTTTCATAATAACTTAATAATAATAGCAATGCATTATGTAATATGACCTTCCAAAGTATCATAGTATATAATGCTTTGTGGTAGTTATATACAAATTTGACCATAAGATATGATATTTAACACCATACTATTAAACAAGAGGTTGAAACTCAGCAAAAGTTGCACGAAACATTCCATGTTTTATAAAGTTTAAGTTTTTTAAAAATAAAAAACTAATTTATTTTTGTTACATTTTTTAACGTGAATTATGGATCGGACTAGCAAAAAAATGAAAATAACACTGTCTTTTTTATTAACAATCTGACACGAACTTACATTCGCCATTCAAAAGTACTGAATCTTACGGGAACATTGACTAAAATAAATTTGTGGCCAAATGTCTTTTTCTATCATTAATCCTCCGTGCGAATCTAAGAATGTCATTTTGGACAGAGTGTGTGAAAAGAACTTCGGTATGCATTTCCTTCCCTAATCTTGTCAGTATGTCTCATCCAATAAAAGATACCTCCTTTCCCTACTGCAGTATGCAAGACAGCAATCTGACGTCGGTCAGAACAAATTGGAGAAAAGGAAAAAGAAAGACGTAAGCAAAATAAACGAACAGCTTTGAACTAATGGAAGAGGAGAGAAGAAAATTCACTAGTGATTTGTACTTCGACGTAAATGAAATTCCATTTTACTCCAGGCGTCGTTCACGAGATCAACACAATCCGTCATCAGATGGTTCCTCTTTTCGTCGCTTTCGAATTTTCTTCGGTGACGAACAAAATAGCTGATTCTGTGCGCCAGCTATAGTTTTTGAATAGCGTATTCCAGCGGTTTTCAATCTCTTGACTAACGCGTGCCATTTAAACAAAAATTGAACAAATGTTAGTACCACCACTACATTTTACAATGATTATTTTTCGATTTCTCAATAGAAATATTAAATATATATATATATATATTGCCTTTTGCACAATCTATTAAAGATGCACACATAAACAATATTAGATTAAAAATTGGTTACCATTTTAGTTATCAAAATTTAAGTTATAAAACTTTTAATTCTAAAATTTAGTGTGAAATTTGGGCCTGTTTAACACAGACCAATTCTTTATGCCTCATCTTATTTCACTTAACTTTAACCGTAAATTAAGATCCATCTTTAATTTTGTTCTGTATTTACTTTTCAAATAAAACTTGGAAGAAAATCCGTGTTCAACATATAAGTTGTGCACAAAGGTAATCTAAATTTAATAGCGTTATCTGAAACCTGTAACGTCTATGTCTGTTTGGGAACATATAAACTACACTTGTAAAGGACTTTTGAAAAATTATCTTTAGCCTTCTGAAACAAAGCAGAAATCAAAAGAAGGGTGTATAAGACCCTTTTATTCGAACACAAATTAACAAATGAGACCCAAATTCGGTTACAATAAGCCAAGCACTTCTTAACAGAACTACGTAACAATAACAATTTCAATGTGCGGTAGATTAGCCTAACGGCTCACAGAATACTTTAACACGCTGGAAGCGCTGTGCTTTGTAGTACGAAACCGGCGAGACAAAGCCTAATGACTAGAACATTCAAAGTCGGCTAACCCAACGCTAATAATCACAGCACCACGTAGCCTGGAATAGGCAAACACGCTCTAAAAACAAACTTACGAATCTCTTGCTTAAATAGCACTTCTTTCTACCTTAATTTGAATAAACTCTCGCTATCTCATTTACATTCTGGCATGAAAAAGTGGGTGAAAAGAGAGTAATAGGAAAGTAAAACTTAAAATGAACTAATAGTTAAAAATAAATAGATATACCTCACATCCGCCTTTAAATTCTTTTTTTTTGGGGGGGGGGTTCAGCCAAAAGTAGACAAGCGTGTTATTTTTGAAATCTTCAGTTAGAGTTCGATCACAGGAAATTTCTATCAATTGTTTTTTCCCCTCACGATATTTTTGAATTTAATAGTTAAAAATACTTTGATTCTTTGCATACCACCTCTTTTTTCTTGGGTATCACCAGTGGTATGCGTACCCCTGGTTGAGAATCTCTGGTGTATTCCTCATAGTTAACTGCAAAGCTGAACTTCTTGTGTTCTGTAATAAAACTAAATCTTCATAGATGAAATATTATGAGCCCAATATCTTATCTTCTGGTTGTTATTTCAACGAAATGTCCTGTTATCCAAAATTTGTTCCAATTGCCTCACTTTTTAAGCTCCTTTCTGAAAAAATTCTAAATAATGGAGTTTTCTTTGTTTTTTAAAATGAGGAAATTAATCCTTTAATCACTCTTAATTAAATTTTAATACAATGTTTGCAATATTGTTTTTTCTGTTCATGCTGACAGTATCTGTTACGAAATCTTTTTTCACCAATGGATAATCACTTTTGGTTATAGTATCTGGTACTTTCGAACAGGGATGAGTTAGATGGAAGTTTTATGTTTTCTTTTAGTTTTTGTGAAAGTCTCTAGCGAAAAGAATTTATCTTTCGTTTTCATTGTCTGCAGCAATAACATGCGTCTTCTCTTACCTCTATTTTTGTTCTGTTACTATTTTGTTCTCATTCAAATGTATTTAGTTCTTTTTTTTTTTCGTGCTGCTTTTAAAATATATCTTGATGACAGATTTGTGTCATTTCGAATGTTTTAAGTAAATCTTTGGAAATAAATCGCTTTGAAGATATAAAAACGTTATGTGAATACAAATCTTAAGAAGAAAAATCCTTCATTCAAAAATGCTAGGTTGGTTTGGAAAATAAGCATCTTGTACACTTAAAGAGAAGTTTATTTATCAAAATCATCTGTCAAATCCCCTGCTGTAATCTCGAAGAAACTAATAAAATCAAAATTTATATCTCCAAATATAAAAAACATTTTGATAGTTTTTAAATCGAGTGAGAATAGCTTTACTTTCAGCAGTTCCATAGCTGTCACCAAGCATTATTTCTGTACTAGTAACCAAATGTGTAATCTACACTTTAAAGTTAATATATAAACCAAACTTTTAAGTGACATTTATGCCTTTGCTGTTTTTCTTATATATTCAGTTAACACTTCATGTTATTCTTTCGTTTCTAGCAGTAAATTTTCAATTTGAAAAAGGGAATGAATCAAAATTGCGTTGTTCTTTAGAAAAGAAGAAACATCTCTTTCAACTCGATTTTCTTTACTGAAGTGATTTGTAAGTGAAATATAAAATAAGAAACTTTTGTAATTCAGGTCCATGTAAGCTAATTGCATAGCTTTGAGCATTTGATTTTTTTACATATTCATTTATCCTTTTATATTAATTTTTTCCTTGTAAGTTAATTTCATTCTTTGCAATGTAAGCAAATTAGAAAGCGAAAAGATGATTCAAAATCGCATTTTTCTTTAGAAAAGAAGAAACATATCTTTCACCCCGGTCTCTTTTTTAAATGATTTGAGAGTAAATTATAAAATCAAATGATTTTGCAATTCATTTTCTTGTAAATTAATTAGATACATTTGAGTATCCTCAAGCATAAAAACATCGTATTTAACGAAAGTTTCCCGCCACCGCAAATATCATCTGCGGAAACAGTATACGTTGGCGTGTTTAATCATGTTTTGTCAGACGATTTTTGGCATCTGAAAGCAAGAAACTTACTTTAGAATACAATACTGTGACATTTGTAAAATAATTGTCGTTATCATTTAGTACCAGGTGTCTGAAGTGCAACTATCATGCTACCAGATTAAAACCATCATTTGCTTCCAATTCTGTTGCAAAAAGTCAGCTACAGAATGTCACCAATTCATGAGTACAGCTTTAGATATTAATGTGATATCATATGATATTGGTAATGTTTGGTACCGAAAGTTAAAAAACAACAACTACGAGATTCAAGAAGCAGAACGCTCTGACGAGGTTACTGATGTGGATGAGGCCCGCCTGCAAGAACTTGTGGAAGAAGATCAGTATGCAACCACTCGAGAACTTTCTAAGGTCATAAAGGTTAGTGCCATGTTCATTAGTTGTGCTACGCATCGCGTAAAACTTGATGTACTACTGCAATCGCTTTGTGCTGCATTGAGCTGATTAAAACAGATAAGGACATACGTTTCGGACCTGCACTAATTACGCGAATATCAAAGCAAAGACAAACTTCTGGACCGGATCGTCACTTGTGATGAAATGTGGATTTAGTTCAACAGCACTGGCAGAAAAGTGGGTTGGTCTGCGCTCGTTGAGCCTATCAACAGCGTCGCAAAACGCAATTTGACTGATAAAAAGATCATGCTTTGTATTTGGTGGGATTGCCATGGTAATATCCATGAACACTTGTAGAGACATTAGGTATTGTTTAGAAGCAGGAGAGATGAAAAATGAGCAATATGTTTACAACGGAGTGATTCCTAGTGTTCCAATACACAGCAGAACGTTTCTCTCAAAGAATCAGCTAGCTGCGATTATTTACAGTGGCCCTCTCTCCCCTCTCCTAATGAAAATCACAGAGCATACAGTCTCCATCAGACTAGACACTAGTAATTGCAGCATTGATTATTGCTGTGTATCTACCCCCGAGCGAAGATATTACCCCTCTATAGAGGAACGTAAATTCTAACCTTCTAACTGGGGATCACACTGTATCATAGCAGGAGATTTGAATGCCAACAGTCAACTCCACTATGGGGTGCTGACTCGGAGAACCGAAGGGGAATTGCGGTACTAGAATTCTTGCACAGTAAGCATTTCATTGTCCTCAACGCTCAGGACTCGCCGCCTACCTTTGAAAC